GGTATTCTGTGAGAGCGTGGTCCTTCCCCGGTCGAGCCGAGCCATTCGTGCTACAACTATACTACTAATGTAGCTACAGCAAGATCAATGCAAGACATTGCTTGTCTTGCATTGATCTTTTAGTGATTTGCTTTTCTAAATAAAAATAATTCATTGTATCCACGAATGAAAATATAACAACACAAGAAGACGAATCAACACATAAGATAAAACTGTCGTTTTCGCTATTGGTTGTTAAGGGAGTGACACCTACGGCTTGACTCAGTAAATTAGCTCTATTTAAGTTATTACTTATTAAATAAAGTCATTTGGTACTAATGCGACATTAATATGCAAAGCAATAGAACCGCACTTCATCGATGGGTTAATTTGCAAAATTGCGCTGGGAACCCACCGAGCGCCTCGGCCGGTATGTACGCTTTGAAAGGCGTTTAATTATTTTGAATGAACGTGTTAGGCCGCGAATAGGTTCACAATGTTATTTATTCTCTGTACTTTATCTCGATATAATCATATATATTATTATAAATATATTATTAAAAATAATATCAGGTACACGGGTACACCGTAGCTGTAGATATTAAAGTACACGAGCAATCCAGGTTTAAAAAACACTAATATAGCTAGACAATAGTTTTATTAGTTTGATTAGCACCTGTAATTGTGAGCCAAACTGCAGAGATTGTAGCTAGAAGGAGTTGGTTGGAACCAAAACATCAGTCTTACGTACTATTAAAAAAATTACTTTTGCCCGCCAACGAGCTACTATCAGACAAGTGAAGTTTCCCTGTACTTCGTGTGACTAGATCGCGTCCATTCTATCAATTGGAGCATCACGCCGGACTATTTGCATTATCATACGACAGGAGTCCTTTGCCCAGCAGTTGAACGTATACAGGCTGTAACATTATTTTCTTTTACCTGTTATAGAGAACGCCCTATGACATTAAGTTCGCTATATATACTACTTTGTGCATTGAATAAATAAGCTATGCTTGTGGTATACATTTGTAATTACTTATGTTTCTTTTTAACTAGTAAAATCAACCATACTACCGCAAACAACCACCTCACGTGCCCACTAACGGATGAGGTTCTGGTAGCCGATCGACGTGAAGGTGGAAAATCAATTCAAAACGCTGAACTCGTTTTTGCATTATCGTATTATCAGAAATATGCGTGGCTTGTGATTAAAACGCATTTAATATATTTGTTAAAACCTGGTATAGATTGGCCAAGAAATGTGAGCCAACTAAGTAAGCATCGATATCTTGTAAGTAACAACGATCGCAATACGAAGAAGCATCTGATTATTATATTACTCGTAGTTGTTATACTGAACTTACGCGAGCGGAAACGCAGTTTCTTCGAAAAATTGCCCTACTATGAAAGAAGATTCACATATTATTCCGTTTAACTATAAAACATTGTACTATAGCTAGATTTAATAGTTTTATTCCATGTAAGGACAGAATGTTCCTGCTAAAGAGTTTGCCAATTATAGCGGTCTTAATATAAATGAAAAAAAATATATTTTTATATTTTATTTTATATAAAGCGGTTTGAAGAGGTTTAAATATAATTTAAAAATTTACATCATGAAATTTGTAAAACGTTTTCAATTGTTTATATTATATTATATACAAGTGGTCCGCCCTGGCTTCGCACGGGTGATTTCTGGATCTCGACAATAGCGCCACCTACCGAGCCTAATTGTGAATCTAAGCCACCCCCACTCAAAAACACACAATTTTTTTTATTAAAATTGGTCCAGCCGTTCGTAGGAGGAGTTCATTGACAAACACATCTATGTAAAGAAGAATTATAATATAAATAAATGTAAACATATTGTAATATTAATAATAATGTCCTCCAGACCGAATTTCGATCACGGCAGCCAATCTTAACAGAGACTAAAGCACGGTCGCGGTGCAGGAATTTTTTTATTTCTTTGCATTTTATAACATAATTTCTATCATAAAGAGTTTTATTTCTTTTGCAACTAACATAGTTTTAGGACCTTTTGAACAGTATTTGTGATTCCAAAACAGAGTTTTTTCTCAAGTTTTTAAATTTCACATTTGTATGAATTGGAATAATTTGAATTTCTTCCTGCTCCGCGGTCACGCCATAGCTGTCTGACCTATGTCGTGACCGCGGAGCAGGAGCAGCTGGCCCCTGACTCTCAAGTCCGATGGGACGACAATCCGACACGATCGAAGTAAACTGCATTCATCGACTTCCTGCATGTTTACCAGGTCGTTATTCCGCCTCGCCACATGTCTGGTATTCGAGCAATACGACTAGACCATTGCCACTGCTTACTGATCCGTTCGACTACGTCGGCTACTCTGGTTCTACTACGTATATAATAATTAATGCTGCAGCTATATTCGTAGTATAGTTGTAGCACGAATGGGCCGGCTCGACCGGGGAAGGGCCACGCTCTCACAGAATACCAGCGTAAAATAGCAGCTTAACACTGCTGTGTTTCGTATGGTGAGTGTAGAGAACCGGAGAACCTTTTTACTGGAAAATAGGCATTCCATCTTAGTTCTCACGGGCGACAACGCATCTGCATTTTGATTTGCAAACAAGGATAGATGTAGATGTCTATGGGCCACAGCAACCACTTACCATCAGGTGGACTGTGTTCTCGTTTGTCACACTATCTTATAAAAGTGAAAAATCATTCTTGTAGTGTTAGGAAGATCTATATTCACTGCAATGTTCTACCTTATATCTGAGATTTAGCATATCTCATACGATAATGTACGTCCGTGTTGTCGGTTTATGTAGATTGAGAGAAATGTCAGGATCATCTAGTGGAGTCCAGGTGGTATCTAATACACAGCATTATATTCTAAATATTTGCCTATCCTATGCAATATTATCGTGATACATAGTATCATACAGTAAAATGGTAAAGTACAACTCAACTTACAAAACAAATCGGATCAAATTCGGTTTGCTTTATATGATATTTTAAAGCGAGGCTTATCCTCTGAGTTGTCAAGTCTTCTTGTTTATGGTGACTATATTAGAATTATAATAACAGAAATCTCAAAATATTATTAATATTAAACATAATACTTAATCAAATGAATACCTAAAAGGTTTAACGTATACTTGCTTTTATATTATACAGCAAATATCTATCAGAGAGATTTTATAAAACCCGTTCTTTTTATAAATTAATTTTGCTAAAAGTCAATGTTTTTCTATTGCGACTAGAAATATTTTCTTTTTAACCTGCACTTTGTTGTTATCTCAGTGAGTGTGAGTATGAAAGTAAAGAAAATTCCATGAAAATTTTAATTTAGACTTTAAATTTCTTATTTTAAGCATCTTCAATGTAAACCTTTTTGTGTTCCGAAACATTTTAATAAATTCAACTTAAAAGCAAGCTTTTTCGCACCTGAACCGGGCGCTGTTTTTAAACGAATTTACCGCCTCTTTGTTAGCGAGCTACGTGTCTGTTAATTCGTTTACTCTTTGCGAGGAGGGCACTAATGGGAGGGCTTTCCTCGCAATTAGCCGCAATTAAGATACTTCGTGCAAGGACGTCTTAGAGGTTGAATTCTGGTATCGACATTGAATCGACTCTTGCAAACTGTATCGTAAATCGATTCCAAATAACCAAGAGGCTAATGATAGGATTGTGTTTCCAAAACTGTATTTACTATAATAGTTGAATTTCGGTAATTAATAGAAGTGAAATATGAGATAAGCTTTTCAGTGAATTTAGAGTTTCTAATTGGCTGTTCGGTAATTGCCCAAGTGTTAAAATATTTAACTTCATCGCAAAAATAATTACTTAAATTTGACTAAGCGTTATCTGCAGCAGGTTCAACAGGTAAAACACGTGGGGCACACAGTTGACTACTGGACCAGGTTCTGCTGATGAATGTTAGCTGTAAATACATCTAAAAATGGTGTACCTACATATGTAACTTAATACGTGAAGCAAAGGACCTGAGACACGACATGGGGGAGATGGATTGCCCTAGGGCGTCATACTAACTGTAACAGAGACAGTCACTCATCTAATGTCCGCTACCCGCGTGTCCGAAGTAACGGGCATCCAAGATGTTGTAGATATTTGCTTACTAGTCTACTTCGTCTTTCCAAATGCGTTCACCAATAAAATTGAATAATTTGCCAGGCTCTGTCTTTTCGTCCGGTAATAATGTGGGTCTTTAAGGCAAGAGTGAACAAGCTTTAGTTGCGCTTTGCCAGTGTCACATACCATCTAGGGCTTTACCACCAGTGCACCAATATAAGCCAGTACTTAACTACATTCCCACGTGAATAAAAAGGTTAAGTACTGGATTATATTATGGGAAAAAAAATAAACTCCACAGATTGGTTACGGGTATGATATTACCAATGCGTGGATATCAGTTCTGCACTTCCCAATCTACATATTAAAAACAAAGTCCAATCGAATTTGGCCTTAGGATCTACTTACCTATCAGGTGGAATATTTGTCGGTTTGTCGCCCGCATTTTATAAAAAAAAATATTAATTGTCTATTTTAAGGTAGGTACAGTTGTTGTATTACATTCTTATATAAAATATTCATATCTTTGTTTCTTTGCTCTCGTAAGTATCGATGGCACTATTTTTAAACAAATAGTCTCAATAAAGTTTCGTCCTACACTGGACCAGGCTATGTACGCTGAGTAAACTTTATCAAAGTGTTACATTAAGCTTCCCTGTCGTACTATCTACATCACTAGCCGATCGATAAAGTCGACTTATTATAATTATAGTCGATAAAATCGACATGTAACGCACCGCTCTATCGCTGTAGCGGCGCATTATCGATAACTCGGACTCTGGGTGGCCGGACCACCCGAGTGCAATCCAATGTTCCATTTTAAAGATCTCTTAAATGTAATGGCAGTTGACGTGTTAGTTTCGAACAATAGGTTCGCGTCTGATTGAGAAGTAATTGTAAGTCTATTTATGTTATGGTTAAAGAAAAACGTACATACTTGTAAAGTATAATAGGTTTGGTATAGTTGTCGATGCAAGCAAACACTCTGAAAAGAAAGAGAAGAACGAGTTTTATATTCTGCTTTAAATACACGTTTATATTTATAAATTACAATTTTTTTATAAATTAATGTGCCTATTGCAGTCCATAGACAGTTAACTTAAAAAAAAGGCTACAGATGTGTTGTCATATTCGAAGCCCAAGATGGAATATCTCACAGCTAGTTATTACGCTGGCCCTCTTCTATACCCTTCGGACTAAAACACAGCAAGCAATACAGGGACTGCTGCATGATGAAAGAAATAGTTAAGACAAGACGGTGTTCCCTGTCAAGACAAATTTCTAGGCTGTAAAGGAATCCTACTTTCTTATATAAAATAAGGTTGACAAACGAGCAAACAGTGTACCTGATAGGTAAGTCGATGCTGTGGTCCATAGACATCTATATTTATCCTCAATTAAGAATCAAAATACAAGGTGCGTTATCACCCCTGAGGACTAAGATGGATTGCCCAGTTTCCAGTAAAAAAAGTCTCCAGTTGTCTATACTCACCATACGAAACACATCAGCAGCATTAAGCTGCTATTTTAAAATAACTCTTGAGAGGGATTACCTAGCATCTGTTCATTTGTAATATATAGAACAAACTTATAGTGTATATTAATTGATTCCCGAAAAAATTAAACATCTGCGTAATTAAGCTAAAACTGGACTCATTGCGAAGACTAGATTCGTTTTCTTTGGTATGATATAGAACTTTCAGCAGCGACTGAAATATTTCTTAAATTAATTTTTAATTTTTTTAATTAATTTAAGCAAAAGGTTGAACTGATTGATAATTTATAATTATTTGTTGCAAATACAAACTGAATATCTAGAAGTAATTCATTGAACATCTGCTAACTTCGTGATAGAACACGAAGAGGCGCTTAATTTACTAGAGATTGAAGCAACCCGCTGCAAGTTAGAATCTGTTTTGATTCCTAAGAACATAGAGGGTTTAACTAGGTCAAGTTAGCTACCATTGAATTGCAAATACTATAACTTGTTATGTTAGGAAGAGCTTAGTGCTAAGAGGAGTAATATACGTTCAGTTTAAGTTGCCAGGAACAAGCAGCTGGTTTGTCCGGTTTTGCGTAATCAAGCTGTAGTAATGGGCCATTATCTACTAAGTTTTACTTAAAAATGTATTATTACTTCTTCTATCCGCAAAAGTCCATTGGTCTATATGTCTCGCTCATGTAGGGATCATTTATTATATATAATCGACAAGCTTGGAAATAGATTGGCGGTCGCATGAGGTATTTTGTAACTTTAACATTGTTCCCTCCGTTGGTTCGGGTTTATTACGTCTGGTGTAAATGAGGCGCTAATAGCGCCATCAATCGAAAGCCATAAGATTCTTCTGGCATTTTCTATAGTCGTTTTTTACGACTACCGCATGACAGAATTTAATGGAGTCTCGTATAACACAGATATCGCTGCTTACGTTTGAATATTTAATACTTTTATTCTAATACATATTTCTAAGTGTTTATTTTTGTTAATGGTAATAAATGCAACTTTCAGAAATACACCCAATAACTTACGTAGGCACACTTTCGTTATCCAAAGTATTGTTATAAATGTAATTTTGTAATCCTAAACGAACATTAAGAAACAACATTGCAAACACCCATATATAATAAATATTTAATTGAAGGGGCGAGAAGAATTTCATTCCATCCTCGAAGTCCCATAATGTATCACAATACGTTGAAAATCGTTGACACAAGCCGACTCAAGCCGAGCCTCCTATCGATCAAGTAATGAAAATAATATTAAAAAAAATCGGTTTGAAACTGTAACGAATTATCTTAGATTTCTTTAAGGTGATCCTAGTTGAATAAGAGCCCCGTTATAAGTGATAAGCGTGAGTACCAAAAAGCGCGATCAAATAATATGAACGCTCACACTATAAAAATAATATTAAAAAATTATTTAAAGTATGTTCAAAACTGAAATTAATCAAATAAAGCGAGAAAATGTGCAAAATAACATCGTGTTAATTATTATTTATTAGTTATTTTTTTTAAGAATAAGCTTGACAAACGAGTTTAGAGTTAGAGTATTAAGAATCTACCTGATGTGTGTGGATAGGAATCCACATCTATCTACGATCAAGAATCAAAATGTAGATGCGTCACCCCTGAAGACTAAGATGGAATGCCTTGTTTCTAGTTAAAATGGTCTCCGGTTCTCTACACTTATTACTTATTCGGTGAGAGCGAAGTCCTATCCCGGTTGAGCTAATCCATTCGTGCTGCAAACATAACACAGATGCAGAAAATTTATTAAATGGAAATATTTTTAGAGATCGGGTATTCTTTAACCGTTATTACAACCCCCTAAACTATCCACTGATGGAAATGGACTTCTTCGCAGTACCGAATAGGCCTTAATCGCCAAGCTGGCTGGCGTATTGTATTTACACTTATCACGTTGTTTATTACAATTACAATAGTATAGTTAAACAAATTGTAAAATACCGAATCTAACGCTACTTCGTCTGACTTAGAGCAAGCGATAACGAGCGTGATTTATGCAGGTGCAAGCCGCAATCACGCGGCATTGTGTTGCGGCGGGCGAAGGTAAGATATGGGGTTGGATAGCGGCCGCGGGTTGGGCTACCATCAGCTTATTATACACGGCGGATTTATTACTTGCCGCGTCACGAGAAACGAGTAGCTCAGGGCGATTTGCCAACGTCTGTACTATTGTTAGTGTTATATATTGCTTTGGTAATGCTAGACGAGATAATTTCGTAGTATAAAATAGGCCTTAAAGACCAGTTAGATAGTAACAGTATTTATGAAGATTGGAAACAGGTGAAGTGACAGCCTATTCAAGACTAATCTAATTTTTGAGAGGGATTAGGGCAAACAGTAGCCTGACTCGCTGCCCTAATGTGTAAAGGCGGACTTCACATATCCTCGAAATGCATTTTTGTTTTCTTGGTGGAAAAACGTGTAGGTTTATTGTAAGCTTGTCTTTACTATCAAGTTTGTAGTAAAAAAATAAAATTACAATTAACAACTTTATCGGCAAGGCAGAAATCGAGCTCGGTTTGCTTTCGTTTCGTTTCGTTTTTTTGTCACTTAAAGATTTAAAAAGATCATTTATACATGGTGGTTTGGAAAACGATTTAAAAGACAAAATACATTTGCCGCGCATTCTATGTACGACATGATGCCCTCTACTTGTCACAGTGAATAATTACCGGCAATAGGGTTTGCATGTATTATTATTCATACCCAGCAATATATAACCTATTCTGTGGCGGACCAACATATGCCTTGAAACTCCGAGTATGAGTAGCGTTCAAGATGCGGCCACGCGTGGCATGAATCGTGCGGAATACCTCAAATCGCAGTGGGATATCGTTTGTACGCATACCTGTCGAAACCGACACAATATAGCGCTAGTAACATAGTGTCACACATATGCATATAAATGGCCGGTAATATTTTTTTGTACTTTGATACACGTACAGCTATCGATACATTATGTAGTATTTATGTTGCTATTAAAATGATTGTTTGAGTTGAGCGGCTTAATTTGTGTGCAACTTACAATAATTATTAGATTTGTAGGATTTGATAAATTTACAAATGAACTAACCGATACTTTTACAGTATAGCTTCGACGTTTTGTTTACTTATATAAAATTGAATATTACTTTATATAAATAACTAAAGGCAGAATTATCATCAATATTTTATCGGATAATTAGTGTGAGATCTTAATGAGATATTCAGACAAAGACGACGAAACTTCTCTAGCCACTCCAAAAGGCCTTTTTTGCGTAGAAAATCTATGAGAGCCAGTATTATAATTACCAGCAGCCGTTACCTTCAGGTGGAATATTGGTTCACTAGTCGTTCTATTATTAAAAAGTCTATGACGAGTATTATTTTTATTTAAATTCTGTTAGTAAGGAATTTCTCTTTAGTCAGTGCTATCACTGTTATTACTAACAAAATTAAAAATTTTGATTTGCCACGTATTTTTATTTGGCGAAAAAGAAAAAAGTTTAAATACATGTAACAAAAAACCTACTTTTCCCGTAAAGGGCATTATCGATCATGAAAAATTTAATTAAATTTAAATTAAGTTTTGTTTGAAAATTGTATGTGGTTTTTTATGGTCGAGTTTTCTGAAGTAAAGTTATTTCTATACGTTTGAATATTGATTCTAAGAACGCACTCAACAGGAATCATAGTTTTTGTTCTGTATAAAAAAAAATGTTAATTGACAATTCGTTAATTGCCTAAAACAAGAAAATTTAAAAGTTAATATTTTTCAACATACATACATAAACCTTTTACCTAGAGGGATACGTATAGACTACGGAGCTCCGTACTTTCATTTGGCGCGACCCTGAAACTTGTCTCTAGGGTTACCAACTTTCGAAACGACCAACCCGGGAGAATTTTATCAAATTGAGTAGGGGACGGGGGGATAGAAAGAAAACCTCAATTATTTATAAATTTTTAAATTTATATTTACTTTTCTTTCGAGCAGTATCTAATATTTGTCGGTTTTCACCACAAAATCATAAAAGTTTTTACATGAAAAATCGAAGTTTGTTAGTACATGTAACCCTGCTTTTACTAAAAAATACTCATTCGGTTTCTTTCCTTGCTCCATGCTTGTTCTATCGTGCTGATTACGCGCTCGTAAGAAGCATTAGAGACAGGAATAGAAAGAACAAATATGACCATTTGTTTCAATTCAGGACAGGGATTTCTATCTTTCGATTTCGTAAAGATGTCAACCCAGCGTAAATCCACTCGATTTTTTTCAACGAGCTGTGGTTGAATCTCACGCAAAAGTCATCTTACAGTATGTCAGTACCTAAGCCAATATTTAATAATTCCTGGAGTATAGTAATGCAAAAATTTTCCTTGCTTGATATTCCGGATCTTCACACACCGCCGAATCAACAACGTTGACGGCGAGACGAACAGATTTACACCTGCAGTGGCGCGTAATGTTGCGTGTGA